GGTTATTGGAAACGAAAAAATTTCGATTGACAAATTAGTCGGTATTCTCAACACAGCAATTATAGGACTTGAACAGCGGAACTTTGTAACTGAACAAGAAATTATGTCTGTTTATAGAATTAAAGAAAAAGTATTATCACGTTAAAAACGAAGCAACTTAAACAACTTACGTTGAAAGAAATGTTTAATAAAGTAAACAAATAAATATTAAGCTTTTTTTTTTGTAAATGTTGATACCCTTTAGATCATAATTGTTCTTTATTTCATAAATTACGATTTCATATTTTAAATTTTATAATTTCTGCATGCCATTTTACCAGATTTAAACTGATGATTTGTAATCCGGAAAAATCGATAATCCGGAATTGCCAAAATCCCGACGAGTCCGGATTAACGACTTTTGACGGTATATAAAAAAAACCTCTATATGTATGGCATTTGCTACGTGGTTTCAGGGTGCGACCACTGTGCCACTACAGCATTGCATCACAATGCTTAGAATCCTCTAGAGGCTCGGTGTTCGCGCCTTGAAACGACTGCCGTTTGCTTCTCAATGGCGTTCGCTTGCTTTTCGAATAGGAATGTTTATTTCTACCCGGATATAGATAAAGGGCTTCGAAACCACAGAGTTATTTTATTACTTAACAATACATGCACCTGCCCAGTAAAAATGTCTTTCTTTTCCAGACTATTCTCTGACCTCAACACACTTGCTCCCCAAGCTAGTGTTGTGATTTTATAAATTATTTCCTGTGGTTTAAATTTAATGTAAATATACTTTGCTATAATTAAAAATAGAAATTGTGTAAAAGTTTTATTTAAATTAAAAATATTTTCTGAATATTTTGGGACGAAATACGAATAAAATAAGTATGAATGAGAAACGAACGATCCGTACAAAGCCAAAAAGACCAAGCCCCCCCCCTATTAACATAAAAAACCACAAATTTCATGTGCCAGATGAATAACGCTGGACATATACCAGTGAAATTTAAATCCAGGCAGTGTACATTTTGTAGCACAAGGAGGAAACCTCATAGAACAAGATGTATGTGCGAAACGTGCAATGTGGGTCTATGCATGTACCAAAGAGACAAAACATGCTTTGAACAGTGTCACAGAAAAAATTTGTTCTTTGAAATTTAAAAAAAAAAAAAAAAAAAAAAAAAAACACCAAGTTCTTTTTTTTATCCTTGTTTTATTGAGTTTTTTAATCCATTTATCCAAATGTCCTTATTATGTAGGTACTTATTTCGTCATTTATTGGAAACGTGCGCGGAAAATGGTAAGTTTTTTTTCCCTACTACATCAGAAAGTTTCAAAGTCCTAGATGCGCGGTGGTTTCACAGTGTGACCACCACCCACAGAACAACGGGCAAGAGTAGATTTTTTTAATTCATATATTATTTGTCTCTAGGATCATAATATTCAATTTCTAGAGTTTTTAGTTTAAAAAATTATAAAAATAATATTGCGCGTGTCAAAGGGTTAATGCTGAGATGTGAACAAATTAGGAGCTTAAAGAAATGCAAATTTTCTGATAATTTACTTAAAATTCAGTTTTAATTACTGGTTTACCAAACTAAACATTTGGGATCAGTTCTACTGAACCAAAAGAATCCTATACAATGAATGCTTCTAAATATAATTTGCGATCCCACATAAATTCTAACAATGCAGATAATTCACCTGCCTAATACTCTATCCAGCATTTAAAGTGACTTAGGATTATATGGAAGGGAGAAAAAATCATTCCCACACCAACATTACACACACAAAAAAAAATTTTTGCTTGGTAGTTCATGTTCTCACACTGTAAAATAAAATAATTTCATTAAGATAAACTGAATGAGCACATTTATTTACATATCCAGTTTCAAAGAAAAAGACATATGATTAAGAATGTATAAAGATTTAGAGTACCATACAAAAACTTAAAGTTCAAACTTATAAGAAAAGCATCACATAGATACATCCTCATCATCAGCTCAATAATGAATAAGGATGAAAAGATGTAGAATTAAAAGAAGGCTAGGAATGGAATTAAAGTGGTTAACTTTCATTTAGTGATTATTAATTTATGCTCACAACACCGTTATTTAAAGTGATGCATCACTGATTTCAAAGGAAAAGTATACTTTTTCTTTTTTCATCAATAATGTTACAAAATATCAAAACGTGTACAGATAAATAAAATATTTGTTTAGTAAAATTTTTTATAACTTGTGAAAAATGTCATCCCTAAAATCCTATCCCTAGAGGGGAAAAAAACAATCCCTAGAGGGGTTGGTTTGTAGCTATGCCACTGAGGCTACAAGCAAAAGCTTCCTGCCCACCAGCAGCTGAGTGCTAAAGTTGTTGAACACTGGTAGTTTGACCTCAGGTTTTAATCCGGATGAATAGGATGGCTACATGGAAGATTTTGTGGTTTTCCTCACTGAGTTTTGTGTAGCGTGAATCCAAGCCACCTATCTTTAAATAATCCTCCCTCCTCTTAGGCAGATAGCTCTTGATTTGCTTTCCTTTAATCAATTAACCAAACCTAACAAAAAGGTTCACAAAAAATTATCTATTTCCTGTTCATATTATGATTCTTACAATTTCTGAACTAAAACGGTTACTTGTTTCTCATTTCTTTTGTGAATTACAAACACATTAATGTTCAGCATTTTATAAAAAAGAAATTTATTTCATTGCATTATTATTTGTTCAAAAGAGGAAATTATGCACATAGTAATATAATAGAACACGCAATCATCCATATGCTATAATTGATGTATGAATACTCCAAAAATGGATTCTTCTGACACTTTTAAGAAATGATATACAGTCAAAAGTCGTTAATTCGGACACACATAATCCGGACCTCAAAGCTACAAACTTTCTGCGCATGCGTCTCTTTGATGCATGCGCGTAAGACCTTCACCGCTGCGAATTTGCATGTGCGCATGCGCAAAATACGTTTATGAATACGCATTTAATGTATAACGGACGGGATAAGCTAAGCTAAAATTATCTAATTATCTATTTCAGTTAATGTTGCAGATTGCGTTGTTCCTTAATCTTCGAACTGGATCCGGATTATTATTTTTTGCAGACTGTTTAGAGCATTTTATAAAAGTAAGCTTGAACTTTCGATTATGTCAAATAGAATTTCCCATATATATTTACTAATATGTAAAGGATATACAAAGCGAAAGTATCTTTCGGAGTCCATTAAACAAAAAGTGGAATTGCTGCAAAAAATGGGTAAAGGCATATCCTTTGTTTATCTAAACTTTAACGTTTGTTTATCTTTAATGCCGCGGCGGCGTGCAATGAATTGGAAGTTGATCTGTCTTGGCTTATAATTCCTACTCAATGTAGTATTTCATCTCGATGTACTCCGTCTTTGATATGATTTAAATCAAATGCCTCGCATTATAATTCGCTTCCGATTGCAAAGAAAGTGACCGAGGTTATTGAAAACGAAAAAATTTCGATTGACAAATTAGTCGGTATTCTCGACACAGCAATTATAGGACTTGAACAGCGGAACTTTATAACTGAACAAGAAATTATGTCTGTTTATAGAATTAAAGAGAATGTATTATCACATAAAAAACGAAGCAACTTAAACAACTTACATTGAAAGAAATGTTTAATAAAGTAAACAAATAAATATGAAGCTTTTTTTTGTAAATTTTGATACCCTTTAGATCATAATTGTTCTTTATTTCGTAAATTACGGTTTCATATTTTTTAATTTTATAATTTCTGCATGCCATTTTACCAGATTTAAACTGATGATCTATAATCCGGAATCGCCGAAGTCCCGACGAGTCCGGATTAATGACTTTTGACTGTACGAGACACTGTTTACGATAATACCTGTATGAATTTGCACATTTTATTTTAAGATGAGCATTTTATATTTGTTTTTATTTGGTGTGTGTGCATGTGTATGTATGTAAGCCTTTCAGACAAATACTACCCAAAGTTTACTGAAACTCAGTTTCTTGATTTATAAAGCTTGATAGAATGTACACAGAGTAACTCTCTGCTACGGCTTATCTTTACTCTTGAACTTTCATATTCCCACTCATTTAATGGCTTCTGTTCCAGAATATCTTGTCTGATATGTCTCTATAGCCTAAATCTAAACATATACATAAGATGTACAGTAAAATCCTCACTTATATATACCACAGAACTTAAAAGAATGAAATAATTTTTAAAATGCCAGATGCTATTATGTCACTTCATCAGTGGAAGCTTATTCCTTTATGACATCAGGGATCAGTTTTTGAGGATGATTTAGAGATGAATCTCTAACTTCACTGCAAGTCCTAAGAATAAGACTAATTTGATCAAAAATCATACATTTCTTCTAAAACACTGCAAGTTCTTCCATCTTTATATCAAAGAGATTTTTCATTTTTTTTTGGGGGGGGGGAGGGACAGGATCTTATCAAAGCTATCTCACTTTATTTTTTATGGCAGTAAAAAATAAAGTGAGATCCTTTACATTTATTTAAAACAAAGCACTTTTATTCTAAAAATCTCCTTTACAGAAAGACTTCACTTCTAAGAACAGAACATAATCTGTAAGTGTAAACAGAAGCTTTTATCTGAGATAAATTGCTTGCAACAGTTTCATTATGTAAAATTTTTTTGCTGCACTTCTGTTCAGCAGTTAAATTCCCAATGGCAGATATCAGTTGCACACAGTCAAACACATAATTAAATTCAGATTTCTTTCAGCAATTAAGTAATATTTAAAACATGAGTGGAATGTAATCAAACTAAGAAGTATAATACTTATTGCTGCAAACTATCCTTTTGCAGCTTTATTGGGACTGGTTAAAAAAATGCAGTTCTAAAATTTCAAAAGCACATTGTGTATATTTTTATGACTCACAGTGCACAGCATTACATTTTATAGGTGTAAAGTATAAATTATGAAATATAAAAGATTTTCAAAAATTTAATGTTGTTTTATCTCAAGGAAATAATTCACCTACAGCTGTGAGAATTTTTAATGTAAAAAATGTATTTTTATGCACATTAGTAAATTATATTCACATATAATACATAGTCTTGAAATTTAAATTATAGGACATATCTTAATCATGTAGAAAATATCAACGTCCAACTTTCTGACGTAAAGTCCAACCTTTTCCTGAAAAAGCTTCAAAAGAATCTTCTTCAGATTTACCCTACAAAAAGAAATTCTTGAGTTAGTTATTCACATATAAATGATCAATAAGTTCGTTTCTTAATTCCAAACCTGATACAAAATTTGAGCTTTTTGAATCCAATTTATTATTTTGCTTTTCCTGTTACTCTTTTTTTGTTTGTTAACTTTTATTTAATTGTTTATGACATATTTTACTGAGTATCTAATTTATACAAATTTATATGTAAAAAGAATGTTACCTCTTTATATGTAAAAACTATATTTATCTGAATATTGGATGGACTCCTATTTTTTTCAACAATTTGTGGAGGATTTAATTTTGAAGATACTTTTTTTCATGAGTTCAAATGAACAAATATTGTTTTATTATCTATGGCAATTTCGAAAACCAGCATCCTCTTTAAATGAAAGCTGTAAACTATAGACTTTCTGGTATATATATTCTAACAATGATATTTATATTCACATTCACTTTGTTGAACTTGGACATTGGACCTGATATCCATTTTCACTTTCACTTGCTACTAAGAATAGACTATTCTAGAAAGAAGGTGCCTTTGCATTTTAAATGAAGGAACTTGTAGGGATATCATGAGAAATTATTCCATGTACTATACAATTGAAAAGATTGATAATTTTACAACATTTTGTTAATATGTGAATTTAAATTTTTAGATTTAAAATTTTGGGAAAAAATCTCATCTTATCTTCAGATAAATATAGTACTTATATATGATGATTTAGAGAAACACACAATTTATTTACATAAAATCAATTTTAATGATAACTTAAAAAAATATTATAGTAAGTTATTTCCGAAATTTATACTATATTCAGGGTTCGTACACATTTCTGCACACGGAAATTAAGTACTTTTAAGGACCATTAATGAAAAAATTAAGGGCCTATGAGCAAATAGAAACTGAATAAATTTAATTAAAAATATTATCTATGCCTGAACTTCACTTTTATAATACCATTCTAAAAATAAAATAGATCCGTAAGTAGGATGAGTTATTATTAAACATGAATTAATTAACAAAATTATTAATAAGTTTAAGAATAAAATCAACTTTATAAAATGTATCAAGTAGCATTAAATATTTTAAACTTATAATAGTTGGACATATACGAAAGACGATAAGTGACATTTTATTTGTTTTACTAACAGTTAGCTTTATACTGATTTTTTTTTTTTTTTTTTTTTAAATGTTTCATTTAGTCACATACTTGCTCAGTCTATAGATTTAGTAAATAGTAGGTAAATTTTATGTCAAGTGGCATACATTAAAATGAGAAGTAAGATCATAATCAGCATTATTCATAACAAAAGACTGGAAGCTGTCACCTCTACTGCTTGCCTAGAGAGAGACCTGCTGATTATAACAAATCTGAAAGGCTTGATGCAGGTACGGTTGGCAAGTTTGAAAGTTAGTCGGGCTCTGTCTGATGCAGTTAGTGTCTCAATTTCATGTAGATTTCCAGGGATTGTAACCCAGTTAATATACTTTAAGGTTCCAATAAGCCACTAAAGCACCACAAGTGATAAGTTGTTTTGTATTATTTTAAGTCTCACTTGATGCAAAGAATAAGTTTTACATGAATTTTTACATTTTTGTGTTTTATCGTGTGACCATGGTAAGGATTAATGAAAGGCAATAACTCGCTTTAAATATGCAGAGATAATTTTAAGGGTTAAGCAATTAATTATAAATAATTAAATTAGGTAGTTAGATAATCTCAGTCATTATGGATTTACATGGCCACTATTAAATTTATTTATCTTTTAAAAATATTTGTTAAAAAAGCCCTATTAAAATCATAAAATTTCACAGTTTAAAATATATGTAATTTATGACATTGATTCTTAAATGATATTACGATAATTACGCATTAAAAGCTAACAACCACACACAACAAAATATTTATGCATCTTTTTAATTTTAAGTCTTCTCAGACATTTTGGCTAATTTATATAGATTTCCTTCTCTTTAAGCATCTTTTCTAACAATCAGAAATTTGTCTCAATTATGCAAACCGATGTTATCACTAGTTTCTATGTGCTTTGACGTGCTACGTCCTAACTTGTCAAAAGAACTTAGAACATAAATGCATGTTCTGATGCTAACAAAATCAATTACAGCTTGCGGTGATGTAATTAAACAAGAACAGTCACATTCAAACTAAAAATGTGGACTGGTGGTCAAAGACTATACAATTTAATTTTAACTTAAGCTGGCTCAGTAACTCTAACATATGAGGAAATAGAAATGTGAAATTATAGTAAAGGCTGAAATCACAAACAACTGGGTAATTTACATAATAATAAGTGTACATATCTTTGAAGAACAATTTTCTTTATGCATCCTGTTTCCTTCTTCCACATTTCCTTTTAATTAAAAATATTTTTGGATTTAATTAAGGATTTCTCTTATTCTAAAAAAAAAAAACTAAATGCTTTTTTAATGTATATATAAAGCTGCTAATTTTATTTCTTTAGCAATATTAAAATTCAGAAGAAATATGAAATATATATGTTAAAGGCTGGTTATAGAGCTGGTGTGGCAGAATTTTTAGAATTTAGTGACACACCGAGCAACAAAATCTAGAAATGTCATAACTTTTAGAATTTAGAGCAGGCATTGGAAGCAGAATTTAGAAAGGCACTAGGCAGCAGAATTTAGGATCCAGAGAGATTGCATCAAGTGGAAAAATGCCTAGCTCTAGCACTGTGTATGATACATTAAGGTATATTACATGAATTTTTTAAACTGCCAGGTTTCAATTTCTTTATTATTAAAAAAAAATTCATTTCTATAATGCCTGTCCATGTGATAAGATTAGAAGCATTTTTGATATTTCCCATGCTTGTGTCTAGCGAAAAGTAGAGAAAATAAAGGGAAGATAAACTTGTTAAGAAAAAGGTTCTAGTATCAGAAGTAAAACATTCAAATATTATGTTTTCACTGTGTTTCCAGACATTCTTCCAAAAAGTAAGAAATTCATCACAAACTTTCTGTCAAATAAATCCATTACATGTTAATACCATGGAGACATTTTTCATTTTGTCACATGTTTCTGGAATCTTCTTGAATTGTGTGTCTATAAATCTTGCCTTCAAATCCTTCTAAACTTTAAAAGCTGCAGGGTCTAAAATCCTAAAGAAAAATTATCCCTACCAATTCTGCAATAGCAAAAAGCCAGAAATATTTTTTTGGGGAAAAAAAAAGAGTAAAATGATTTTTTTTAGAAAACACTGAGAATTCTGAATATTCTGAGACAATTACATTGAAAAAACCCTTACTATGAAAAAATTCATTTTTAACTAATTACGTAGCTAATTTTACTTTTGCTAAGAACTGTTTCATAAATTGTGTTTTACAGCATTATACCTTCCTTTATTTTTCAGATTCAAAATATTGTATAATAAGTTGCCAAAATGGAACTTTAAAATATGACAGCGAAAAATAAAAATGTTTTATTTTAATGTTATTTTTTAAATATAATTTCGATATATTGCCATTATTTTAATAAACTTTATCAATGTTATAATGTTTTAAAAAAATCGTCAAAAAATTCTCAGATCTCGAAATTAAACTTTCTATAAAAATTTATCTAAAAATTGCCAAAAAGGCAATAAGTCATCAAATTTAGAACTGTTAAATAAAAGAATTTACATCACCAAAAGTGAAAATTTGTTTACGAGCTTTTAATTAGAAAAAATGAATTTCAAAATGTTTATGCTTCAAAATGTTCTTGCTTAGAAACTGGAGTATCCCACCATTTATATTAGAAATAGGAACAAATTATAACCCATTCAAAAGATAACCATATATGTCAGTGAATTGCCAAAAATATTCCTCCAAAATGATAATTCACACTCAAAATGGCTACTGTACAAACAGACAGAAATTCCAGATGATTGAAATTAAGGACCTTCTGACGATTTGGTCGAAATTAAGGACTTTTAAGAACCGTACGAACCCTGTATATCTGGATATTTATTAATACTTTTCATTGAAACATTTAAATAGAGTAACCCCTCCCCCCTTAAGAAACTACTTGTATTTCATACAATTTTGGAATTCTTTGAAGGTAGTCTCTTACAGAATATTCAGTATATTGGAAAGTGTAGATATTTTAGGAGCATTTTCTTATTGTGAAGGTGAATGCAATGAGGTTCACTGTAATTTCACTGTAAATACATGCCATTATTACAATACCAAAATGGTGAAAAATAGATTATGACAAATAGAAGTTCAGAATTTAAAAGTATAGGTATATAAAAAAGATTTTTCCTGCTATTAATCATTTTTTTGGGGGAGGGGGAATGCAAAGTTGTCTGGCTTTGTCTTTGCTCTCCTTCTGCCCAAGAGAAACAACCGAACATACCTTGATACTCTGCAGATAATTTATGTTATAAATTTTGCATTAGATCTTAACAATGCACTTCAGTTAAAGTATAATATCATAATTTACATAAAATTAAATCATAACCAAAAAATTTATTAATTTCTAACTGTTGGAAGTATTTTAATAGACTGGTTGTTTGGTTAGATTGCTACTGACTTAAAAAGGAAAATAAAATTTGTTACACTTAAAAACAAAAAATAACTCTTAAAAGACGCAATACAAGAGACATAGTAGTGAACCTCCAGCATGGATATAATTCTAAAATTTTACCCTAACTTAAAATTTTGTAACACCGAAAACGTGAGAAAAGACCTTTGTATCCATGAAAAGCTGAACTGTTATTTTACTGAGTAAGTCTCTAATACTGCTACACAACTGTTTCTTTAAAATTGCCAAAAAAACAATCTTATGTTTGGAGTAGATTTAATTGAAACTCTATTGATTTTAAGGGCAAACAGGTACATAATTTAAGTTTTACTTTGCGGTGTTTCTCTTTTCTCCTCATGTTTTTCCATCAGCTGGCAGTTTCGAGAAAGTTCTTTCAGTTTTATAATTTTAAGTTTCATTTTGGCACTTTTTCCCCCCTCTCTTAAATTGTTTCTTTCTTTGATGGGGCTTGTATTTGCATAAAAGATATTTTAAAAAGATTACTCAACTAAATATCTCTTAAGCAATTGGATACAGAATACGAAAGGTAATACAAACTCATCATTTTAATTTAAAAGTGAATCACATGAGATGGAATACTATATACACTTGGGATACAGAGGCCATGGAGAAAACACACACAAAAAAAAAAAAAAAAAAAAAAAAAAAAAAAAAGAGAGAGAGAGAGATTTAATTAAAATTTTTTAAGACTGCATACAAATTTTATGAAACACGCAACAATGTGATTAATTTTTATAAATGCATTATTACATTTTATATTAGAGAAATATCAATACAGAAGCATGGGTATCAAATTCCAATTTGCTGAAATGTTAAAATTTTCCCTATAAAATCCTTGTTTTGCCATTCTTTTCCTTTGTGTGTAATTTAAATAGTTTAATACAATAGTTCATTTTTTATTAATTAATTTAGTGAATTAATTAGCAATAACATTTAAATTCCCAGTTTTTTAAAATTTTCCTGTCCAAAAATTGAGTTAAGAATTTTTACTTTAAAAATTCACTGTACTGTAGGATAATGGCTCGTATCAATCACATAAATTTCCATAAATGTCATTCTAGCAAATGACTTACTTGTAAAGTTAACAATATGCCTTTTAATATCACAGCCACTAAACAACTATCCTTTTGAAAAACTTATAATTGCATTTATCTAATCACTTGTAACACATGAAATCTTAAATATGTTGGACAAACCAAAAATAGTCTTAATATTAGAATTAACAACTACAGAGCACACATTACAAAATTTGCAACTACTAATTTTAACACACTTAATACAGCTGAATTAGAACATTCTCAAATACACGATTTCAAAAAAATTAATATTCAAATTTTGGACATTGTGCCTGAATACAAAGTTAGATTATTTCAAGAGTCACTCTACATGCTTAAATTTAAAACACTTTACCCTTATGGACTCAATACATTCAACCAACACATTAAATTAAATTCTGAAATTCCAACTTACAGCCATTTTAAATTATTCAGTAAAAAAAAACATTACGAGGAACCAGAGCAGGTAATAAACATAAAAATAAACTTTTTTCAACAACAGATACAAAAAAGTTAAACGATAATATTAATAATTACTTTCTTACTGAAAATTTCACTAAAAATATAATTACTTGGTTGCATACTTGTAAGCACAATTTCTTAAAATTATAAAATTTGTAAAACAGCATTTTACAGGGCACAATATTATCAAAGACCTTATTATTGACTTTTGCAATTATAAGTTCTCTACAAATAACAAATACAATAAATATTACTGTAAAATCAATTTCCTTCATCCTAACTATGATCATATTCAGTTTAGGCAAAATTTTCAGAAAAGTCAACAACAGTTTCCATCTACTAAAGTACTGAAATCTCACCAGCTTTCAAGTATAACAAATACCTCTTAGCAAACTGCTAATTAACCACCATGATCTTAGGCTTCTACAGCCCATCGATACGGCAAAGAGCTTCAATACAAAGACTTTCATAGACGAAATTTCATAAACATATTGTTACTGACAATGTAACGAATAGTTCAAAACCAACATTTTAAGAAATTTAGTGGAAAAAGGTACCGAAATTTAGACCAGTACTAAAAAATTAACAAAACCTTACAGTTTTAAAAGTTTCGTAAAAAAGTCTAGACGAATTTCATAGTTAAAACTAGTTTCAAATTACAAACCTAGTTTCAAATTCTACCTTTATGGCTTGGAAACATGCAGTATTAGAAAATTCAAGCAAAGAATTCGAAAAAATTGAATTTAATAGCAATTTACAGTGGAATATTCTCATTCCTCTTTTACAGGATTTAAAACAAAAGTTCATAATCACCAAAATTGACAAAGCCAATAATAATTTTAGCATAATATGAACATTTTTTTATGTCTCATTATTTAATACTGAACTAAATAATGCCATTACTTACAAACTTACCAATATACAAGAAAATGTTCATTGCAAAAAAACTAAAAGCAATTCATAACCATAATTTGTTTAAAACTACAAATTTCACAACCATCTAGCTACAATAGATTAGCAAATCTATATGCTCTTCCTAAATTTCCATAAATCACCACTTCAAATTTAGATTTATTGCTAAATGGTACAAATAATTATAAAAAGAATATAGATTACATATTTGCAATTATAACTTTAAAAAAATCTGTAATTTTAATCCATCAACTCGTTAACAAACAACACAACTTATAGTTGGATTATTTATAATAATGCTTCCAGTTCTCAACAAATTTTAAAAAGTTTAACATCAAGAACATTAACTGCTATTACTTTGAAAACCTTTATACTTCTCTACCATTTGAAGAAATTTTTACTAGTTTAATGCAACTCCCACAACTTTTTCCTGACATACTTGACATCCTTAGTATTGAAAGATGGAATAATTATCTGAAATGTGCATTATTTAATAACTACATTAAATTCAATAAAAAGATCTTTCAGCAAGTTAGAGGAATTCCTATGGGAGCAAACAGTTTTACACAAATTTGTAACCTATTTCTTTTTACTTTTGAATATAAATTCCAACTAAGTTTAAATAAAAATGAATTAAAGCTATTTGCTCATACTTTTAGATACGTAGATGATATTATAACTTTAATAATAATTCTCTTTTGAGCATTCAAAATTTTACCCCAAATAGTTTAACACTTAATAAAACTAATACGAATCAAGATACTATTGATTCCTAGACCTGCAAATTATTAAACACAGCAAAATTAAATTATATGATAAAAGAAGGAATTTCCATTTTCATACTATTAAACTAATTAATTGGAACTCTAATATCTCTAGAAAAGTAATAGAAAACACGTTTCATAGCCAAATAATCAGAATAAAAATATATGTACTGAAATAGACGATTTAAAGGAAGAAATAATAAAGCTAATTAATGTTCAAGTTGATAACCAAGTACCACCAAAATTTATTATTTATATATTAAAAAGGCAGACATTAACTTTATAATTTTCTTGCTCTTTTTGATATGATAACATTACCTTAAACCTTAGCTGGAGGGTAATGAAGGATAAAAAAAGAGTAGAGAAAATTATTTGTAAATTTTTATTGTAAATAAATTTGTAAATCTGTATATTTAATCAATTCTGGATTCTTTCCTTTTACTAAAAAGGGCCAACTCTTTTCAAAAGTCTCAATTATAGTCCGAATTGAGTGAAGATTTTAATCTTCTAATTTTCCATACTTTAGCCAGTATTTAGTTAAGTTTTGATATACCAGTTAAAATCAAGTTCATTAAACTTTCAATTTTTCTTTCTTTAAATTTAACTTCTTTAAGGAATTTTTGGGAAATTACTAGGAATTTTTTAGATGTTTTTTAAGGACTTCGTTTCACAAAATTTTGGGTTTGACATTTTAAATTTTGCTTTAAATTTTAAAACATTTCATTTTTACTTAATTACTTTAATTATTTGCTTTACACACATTTTTTCACAGAACACACATTCACATTACAAACAGTTTACATTTATTAATCACAATACCACTTAACTCTATTTTACTCAAGCAAACTTACCTCTCTTGATTGGCTTACTCCCTAAATAATTTATTGTTAAAATTAAACTGAATTATATACTTTTAGGATTTTTAATTTATTTTTTTTCTAGATTTATTTTTATATATTTTAATATTAATGTTTGCAAAACATGTTTTAATATAACAAGATAGCAGCTTGCACTCAACTTTACCTACATAAGCGCCATCTATATATTAATTTGAAACACACTTACTTCTCTTTAAAAACACTTTTGCAGACCCCAACGCTCATTTAGTAGGTAGGTTAGAATTAAAACTTACTATTTACTTGCTTTAAGTATTTTTAAAATTTTTATGTGTATTTAAGTATTTCTAGATATGAATTATATTTTTAAGTATATATTTGTTTTTAAAAAAAATTGTGAATTAGTTCTTTATGTTTCTTATTGGTTTATATGGATTATGTCTAGTTCTTTTTAATTTTCCTTCATTGATATGCATATTCATGTCGGGGAGGTTTCTGTAGACAAGGTTTTCTAAAATACATTAGTTTCTAGATTTTTTTTTATAAAAAATAATTCTTTTTAAATTTAATTTCTTAAAAAGTTTAATTAATACTTGACTTTACTTGCTGTTTCTCAAAGACTTCATTGTATTTTCCTTTTAATTCTTAAATGCTAATTTCTAAGGGTACCACTTTATGGTATTTCTTTTGACTTTCTTCACTTTTTACTTTGGTTTGACTTTTACCTTGCCTGCATGAAGACGAAACATATTTGAATGATTGGAGAGTTAGGTTGGAGGCAACTTCCTCTTGATAAGTCTGTCTCCTACCTGCTCAACAGTCATTCACTTATGCAGTTTTAAAAAATTGATTGGATTAATTTTAATTTGCTAAATTAGTGAATTTATTTTCATGGTTTAGTTTTGCACTTGATTTGCTTATGCTTCTGAATTTAAATGATATTGTAGATTAGTTCGAGAACTAAATCTTTTATATGTTTACACATTTTTTTTTTTTAATATATATTTTTTTGGCTTTAAATTTGCTTTTTTTTTTCTTTTAATTTTTGCCTTTAAATTTGCTTTTTTACTTTATACGTGTTTGCTAAAATTTAAATTTAATTTGTTAAATTTATATATATGTACAATATATATATATATGTACAATATAAATGAAGTTCTATTTATAACATGCTACATAGATTTTTACTTTTATACTTACATTATTAATATCACCAGTTTTAGTTGTTCGTATAAACCTCAGAGTTCCGATTTCATATCATAATCAGGAATCCCTCTGTTAAAAAAGTATTAATTTGAGAAGCCTATATTAAATAAATAGCCTAGACAATACTGATGGAAAATTTAAAAATAAAATTAATTTAATATAATGTCACATATTAATACTATATACTGTAATTATAATTTATTATTAAAGAAAAATTTAATGCAGGGGGAAAAAGGGCTATTCATGGAACAATCACAAGTACAGAAACTTTTTAAGACAAGGATTTTTGTTAATTTTGCTCCCTCCCAAAGAAAGGTAATGAGATATGAGGCAGTTATACAAATAATAGTTAATCATTAAATAATGACTTAAAAGAGCTGTAGAGCTGTAGAGACATTAGGTATTTTTGTTGGAGGCTGGAGAGATGAAAAATGAGCAAGCACCTTCGCTGGGAATCGAACCACAGACCTCTGGAATACCAGCCTAGCGTGCAGAACCACTACACGACGAAGCCACGCAAGAATGTGGGAGAAATACCTTATATACTCCCCCTTTTAAAGAACAACTGAGGTTTTTAGGGGCCCCAATCGCCAAATCCTGGGTGTGGAGAGCCATCATCCATCACCCTTTTACTTCGGGCACCACTGTAGAGACATTAGGTATTTTTGTTGGAGGACGGAGAGATGAAAAATGAGCAAGTGCCTTCGCCGGGAATCACACCACGGACCTCTGGAATACCAGCCCAGTGTGCAGAACCATTACACCACGAAGGCACGCCAAGAAGGTGGGAGAAATACCTTATAAAGCATGACTCAATAATATTCTAACAATGTACGCAATCCAGTTAGGCAAGGTTAAGATTTTCATTTTAGTAGATGGCACTTTGAACAGTTAATTAATATTCTTCAGCAAGTAGCATATTTTTCAATTTAGAAAGTATTCAGCATGAAACTATTTGTTGACGTTAACACAGTATGACTTCATGCAACTTTAAAATTAGTTTTTCTAGTATTCCAGAAATCTAGCAAAGAAGTAATCTAGTATAACCAAGGTTCAAAATTCAAGTTTGGATTTTAAAAGAAAATTAGTTTTGTGTGTGTGTGTGTGTGTGTGAGAGAGTGTGTCAATTCTTAGCAGTATTGAAGTCAGGTATGACAGGGATGATCTGAAATTTACAGATTTAGTCAGTATTTAGAATAAAATGCCATACTGGCAAAATATCATTTCCCTAAAGTTCATCAAACTAATCACAGAACTTGGCACAGCAAAGAACATAATGTTGTAATCATTACCTCTGCAAAATAATCAAGGTTAAAATGTAGTCTCAAATTTTTGATTTCAGTTTAAAGCTAATACAAACTGATTAAAAACTATCATCAAAATGCTTCCCCATTACTGTATATTTAATGAAAGATTAACTATAATTCAGAAGCAAAACAATAAAGCCTTTATTAAAAAATGTCTACCAAAGAGGTTACATAACCTTAGGTTCTAACCAATGATCAGAAAACTGACTATACTGCGAATTGAACTGCGAAACTGACTATATGAAGAGTTAAAATTACTTTGGATTAAGCATGTTGCCACATTAAATGTCTACTAAGGAGGTTACACAGTGTTTTGGCCTCCCCGGTGATTGCGGTGATTTGCATCCAGAGGGCACACCGCACAAAGAGTTAGTTGCGTTACAGAACGCAAAGGCAGAAGACACGCCAAAAATGTCGGGCGTATTACCGCTAATTGAGGTAATTGCATCGTATCTGTCAGGTGGCAGAAAACTAGTATGATGTATCAATTCACATGCCAGGTGGCAGAATATGTCTATCATGTACATGCCAGGAGGCATAACGCTTGTAAACATGCCAGGTGGCATACGACTTGTAAATAAATTGTAAATAAATGTACAGTAAAATATCTTGGTGCAATAGATCAAGGAACACGCATCAACAACCTTCTGATCATTTGGATACGTACATTTTTTTTTTGGTGACACCGGACCTGATTTGTGGAGATGAAGAAAATTAGTGAGTTCATGACTGAAAAGCCAGGATTTAACGCGAAGAAATTCGAGGTAGGCCCTTTTTCATTTTTCCAGAGTTTGAATAGAATTGTTGAATAAAAAAAAATTGGTGATTATTATAGTTGATAGAATCTAATGGTAAAATGGAGGCTATGAATAAGGCAAAGAAGTTGCGTACGGTGACGCGTAACTTAACTACTAAGTTGATGAGTAAAATAGATTCTGCATTGTTAGAAGAGGGTGAAACCGCGGATGAGAAAATTAAAAGAATTACTCGAAATGTTACTTGAAAAATCGCAGTTGTTGAAACAATACGATTCTGAGATTGAAAAACTTATAATTACGGAACAGGAGTTAGGAAACAGAAGTAATTTCCGCGCAGGAATATCAGGAAAGAATTATAAGTTTTAAATGTAAAATTCAGGAAAAAAAATTAAGAAAAAACGCGTGTAAAGTTGAATCTAGAAATTCTAGTGAGGAAACTATATCTCCGAAGTTGAAAACTTGTGAAGTTAATACTTTAAAATTGCCAAAATTAACGATTACAAAATATTACGGTGATCCTTGTTCTTGGCTTGAATTCTGGAATCAGTTTAGTAATTCCATTCACCAAAACGAAAGTCTCAGTTCGGTTGACAAGTTTTGTTATTTAAAATCGCTTTTGGGAGGTTTAGCTTTAAATGCTATTAGTGGATTAACATTTACTAGTGAAAACTATATACGGTGGCTGTTGATATACTAAAAAACCGTTTCGGCAGAGATGACCTGCTAATTAATGCGCATATGAATAAATTGTTGAGTTTAGAACCTGTAAAATATTCCGGAAATACGGCTTCTTTGAGGAAGCTTTATGACGATTTATAGAATATACAAATAAGGAATTTAAATTCTTTAAATGTTACTAGTGGTTCTTATGGACATTTATTATCCCCTATTTTGTTAAAGTTAATACCCGAGAATTTAACTCTAGAATTCACTAGGAAAAGAAGTGATAAACAAAATTTCGATGTTAATGAACTACTAACGTTCTTGAAAACGAAAGTGGAATATAGGGAAACATCAATGATGTTAGCGCGTTCTAAGAATTTTGATGTAAATGAAACATCAATACGAAACAAAAGTTCCCATCAAGGTTATCAAAATAAATCTTACATGCATTCTAAAAGAAATGATTACAGTACGAATAAGCAAGGTGCTTCGGTATTAACTAGTCAAAGAGAAAGCGAAACTCCCTCTAAATACTTTCAAAAAATCACATTTTAATCCAAATCGAAAGTTCTCTACCCGCCTAAGAAAGAGAATCAAAATGTCTGCATATTTTTGTTTATCTGCTTGTCATATGAATCATGATTGCGCACTTGATTTAAAGGCTCGCCGAAAGGCATTAATGGATCGAGGTTTATGTTTTATTTGCTTTTCGAAAGGGCATCCAAGGCGTTTCTGTGCTCATAAAGATGAAAAATGCAGACTGTGCAATGTCCAAGGTTTACATAATTCGTTAATATGTGACGCCGCATCGAAAGATTTAGAGACGGATACTTCCAATCAGACAAAACAAACGCCAATCCCTGAAGCTTCTCTTTCGCTCTTATGTAATGAAAATAATAACAAAATTAAACCTACCGACTTCCGTTCTTTTACAGACGTTTTCGGCAACAGTTAGGTGTAAAGGGGGGAACGAAAAGGTATTACGTTGTATGCTAGATTCAGGGTCAACAAAGTCATTCATCTTACGAGAAGTGGTTGATTCACTGGGGTTGAAAATTATTAATAAAGAAGCGCTTATTATTTTCACATTTGGATGCAAAGATGCAAAAGAGCGCTTGTATGATATCGTAGAAATCGTATTGCAAAATGTAAGCCATCCCAATAAAAAGATAAAAATTAACGCAATAGTCATTGATTCTATAACACTAGGGCAAGTAAAAGTTCCTTCTCGGTGGATACGAAAGATGGCGTTTGAGAAGGGAATAGAATTAGCAGATGCTGGTACGAGTGACGAAATTCAAGTATTAATAGGTTCGGATTATATTTGGGAAATTTTAGGAGAACGAAACGTGAAGATTTGTAAAAAATTAGTCGCAACAGAAAGCACTTTCGGTTTTGTGATTCAAGGCAAGGACGAAGGATCAAAGTGTAAGGACGCAAGAGTTAATCATATAACCGTTGTAAATGAGGACTTAGATTATGAAAGAGTTAAAAAATTATGGGAATTAGAAGCAATTGGGATAAGTTCGGATAAAGAAATATCTCTATCAGATAAAGAAATTTTAGAGTCATTTGAACGAAATACAACTTACAAGAATAAAAGGATAAAAGGTATGAAACTCGATTATTGTGGAAAGAGGGTGTTGAAGGTTTAAATAACAATTATGAAATCGCGAAACAGCGTTTACAATTTTTAAATAATAAGTTTCAGAAAAATAGCGAGCTATATTTAAAATAAATGAGATAATTAATGAACACTTGAGAGATGGTATAGTGGAACGGGTAGATACGTATTTAAATAGTAGTTTGAAAACGGGGTATTACATGCCTCATCACGCGGTAGTGCGCGAGCAGAAGGATTCTACAAAGGTTCGAATAGTTTTTTGACGCTTCTTCTAAAAGTAAGGGAAATTTATCACTTAATGATTGTTTGGAAAGCGGACCCTAATTTAAATCCTGATTTGCTAAAGATTATCATTAAATTCAGGGTACATTCAATTGCGTTTTGTGCCGACATTCAGCGTGCATTTTTAGAGGTAGGCTTAGCTAAAGAAGATAGGGATTTTTTAAAGTTTTTGTGGATAAATGAAGAAGGGTCAAATCTCGATCACAGTAATCCCAACTTACAAGTTCTCCAACACAATCGAGTTCCTTTCGGGGTCAAGTGCTCACCTTATTTTATTAACAGCTGTAATAAGACTGCATTTAAAAAAGTATGAAGATGCCTACGAAGAGGCATGCAGTATGTTAAAAGAGCTTTACGTAGATGATTTAATTTCTGGGACAGTTAATGTAGCAAAGGGCCTTACATTTAAGCAAGGAACATGATTTTCATTCTTAGCGAGGCCAGTATGAATTTACGTAGATGGGTTTCAAACTCACCTGAGCTGAATGAACTATGGAAACTTAATGGAATTGACTCTCGTGAAACATCTGAAGACTCTTTGGTACCGTTGAAAGTTTTAGGTCTTATCTGGGACAATGTCAATGATAATTTGAAAATAGATGTATCTCAGTTTGAGAAGTTACAAAATCTCAAAGTAACTAAATGCATCATTTTAGCAGCATGTGGTATGCTGTTTGATCCCTTAGGAATTTGAAATTACGAATGAATCCATTTAATGTAATTTACTAAATTATTAGGGATTCGAAAGGGAATTTGAATCCATTTACTGTTCGAATCAAATCTTAATGCAAACTATGTGGGAAAAGGGTATTCAATGGGACGAAAGTGTTCCCTTTGATACAGAATTCATATTTCAGGAATGGTTAAAAGAAGTTGAAAAAATAAAGTTTTTCGAAATTCCCAGACAGTACTTCAGTGATATGTGTTGGAAGTTTATAGAAGTTCACATATTTTCTGATGCCAGTCCCAAGTGTTATGGTGCTGTAGCATATATTTTAGATTTGAAGAAGAAAAATAAATGTAAAACAAGTTTCATAATGTCGAAATTCCCGTTTAGGCTCCATTAAAAAAGGGTAACACTCCCTAGGCTTGAACTTTTGGGAACATTAATTTCTGCAAGATTAAGTTCGTATTTGCAATCGATATTTCCGCAGTTGGATACAGGAAATATATTTTACTGGACCAATTCCAAAATTTGCATTCACTGGATCAAGAAATCGTGTGGTAGAAATCAAGGAGAAAACAAATTTAAACAACTGGTACTTTTGCAGTGGGAAGACCAACCCTGCTGATAAACTTACGAGAGAGATGAATGCTGAAGCTCTAATTAATGATAGTGATTGTTTTTCTGGGCCACCTTGGCTTTAAGAAGTAGATATTCGATGTCACATAACCGAAATGAATACTGAAGCTGACTTGCAAAACGTTAGTAAAGAACGAAAATGTGTTACTTTAAAAAGCACTTGTGGAATCTACAGAACTGTTACTAAATCTTGAACTGTACGGAGAATTTAAACAAAGTTTTGGGAATAATGGCTTATGTTCTGCGCTTCGTGAACTACTGTAAATCTGCTCGCGAAAAGCAATCTGGTGTGCTTACCGCCTATGAATTAAGGAAGGCTTCAGAATTTATTATAAGAAATGTTCAACTTAATGAATTTTCAGCAGAAATCAAGGCTTTAAAGACAGAACAACCGATTAAAACTAAAAGCAAAATCATTTCACTTAATCCATTTCTACATGAAAAAGAAATTTTAAGAGTAGGAGGTAGATTAAGAAACGCAGAAATTACCAGAGAAAGTAATTATCCCATTATATTGCCAAATAATAATCACTTTACTAAGTTATTAATACAGAATTATCACGAAAATCATTTACATGGAGGGTTGCACTTAATGTTATCTGCAATATGACAGAAATACTGGATAATAATGCTCAAAGAATGAAATTAAAAAATGCATTTGGAAATGCATAAAATGTTGCAGAGTACGAGCGGCAAGATCCACTCAGTTAATGGGAGAATTACCTGCTAGTAGAGCGATTCCAAATAGAATCTTTTAAATATTAATGTAAATATAATTTAAATATTAGTGTGGGTTCAGCATACAGTATTATCCATGACGCAATGTGATTTAATAAGTGCCCGTGAGATAGATGCCATATCAGTTGACTGCTGAATTAAAGACTGCCATATTGATTGATGCCCATGGAAATGTTTCTAGGACAAAGAAGATGGATTCTGGAAAAAATTGCTACAGAAGATTAACATGAACACTGCCACCAACCACCTAAAACCCAACAAAAAACAAAAACAAACAAAAAAAAAAAAAAAAAAAAAAAAAAAAAAAAAAAAGGGGGGGAAGGCATAAGCCATTGACAAAATTCAAAAATTCTATACCCAACCACCAACAGAAAAAGTAATTCTTACTTTCTTCTGAAAAGCAAATGTAGTCATTTTAGAACATCACATAGAAAAAGGGAGCAACAGTAATCAGTACTTGTTAAGCAGACCTTTTCCAAAATTCTTTTCACCCTTCAAACAGAAATAAGTGAAGAGGCCTTGAGATACACTGTTACTACATATTTTAACAGTTGCGACAATCAATGATACGGAATTTGAATGTCTCACACACACACTCACCCCTCCTGATGACTTTTATGTGTAAGGATGGCTCAGAGATAAAATATAAGGTAAGTGCATTTAGAGTGATGAAGAGGTGAAAACCACAGTGCATGATTGGCTACAGTCATAGCCAAAAGGATTTTTCTTGTGAGATCTATGGACTGCACTTTCAAAGGAAACATCCAAAATCACATATGTAAAATTTTTCTGTATTTTCTCATTTGTTTTATATAATAATAACAATAAATATACTTAATATAATAAGGTTTTCATTTGAATAACATTTATATTTAACAGTAATTTTAGCAAATCTAGCTCTCGCTCTTGTATATCCCAAATGATAACATGTGGCTTCTGTTGACATACAGTCTGGCCACTCTTGATTTATACACTTTCATCATGATAACATGTGGCTTCTGTTGACATATAGTTTGGCCACTCTTGATTTAATCATCACTTCATATATTTTAATCAAATGCAATACTTTTCATCAATTAAACTGCAAGTGCATAAAATATATACCACTCTTGATTTAATCATCACTTCATACATTTTAATCAAATGCAATACTTTTCATCAATTAAACTGCAAGTGCATAAAATATATACAACACTCAAAGTTTTAAGTTATCACCATATAAATAAAATTTGGAATACATTTACCTTCTTGGTGGAGGTGCATTGAGTGCTTTGTCAGATATTTCTACTTCCTTTGTTTTACCATCCAGTCTATTTCCTTTTCCACAAAATGCCTGCCAAACCAGCACAAAATATAAAACATTACAAATGAACATACAAAGTAATTAACAGCTCAATTTACACCATTCACATAAATTTTAAACACAATTCTTAAGATTTAAAATTTAGTTTAAGAAGAAATTACCTAGCTAAAATACTAAAGTATTAAAAAGAAATTTAATTTTGGTTAAGGCCTTTTTTCACCCTTTCCACAATTTATGGGATTATTTTTGGCAGTTGAGAATAAAAAATAAGTATGAATAATAATTTAAAGCAGAATAACATACAGGATAGCTAAAAATATAGAAACATGGTAAAAGAATGAATTCCTTTATAATGTACACAGGACTAGCTTTTGAATTTAAAAATGGAATAAGAATGAATAAACATAAATCTTAGAATGAAAAATCTTAGAATGAATAAACATAAATCTTGGATACAGGATAAAGGGATACTATCATCAATTGCAGCTGACACAGAACAATGCCCAAAGAACAACTGTGACTTCTTACAGGTTTGATATTTCTTACTACACAAGAAATATTAATTAACTATGGCACCATCAAATAAACAATTACCAAGTAAAAATAAAATTATTGCAGAAGGAACTGCTAAGTAAAAAAACAGTTGTCATTTTACACATTTCTTTTAGCAAATTTTTCCATATAATCTTTAGTCTTTGCACATTATACATCTACATATTCATAATAAAATAGTTACAAAAGAATAAATTGAATTTAAATACAAATTTAATTAATTCTTTGCACCATTGCTGCAAGGAATGAAATTTAAATTTTAACAAACATGTAAATACGTAAAAAAGCAAATTTAAAGTTAAAATAATTAAAAAAAAATGTGCAAACATATAAAAGATTTAATTTTCGAACTAATATACAATATCATTTAAATTCAGATAGCATAAGTAAATCAAGTGCAAAACCAAACAATGAAAATAAATTTAGCAAATTAAAATTAATTTTTTAAAAATGCATAAGTGAATGACTGTTGAACAGGCAAGAGACAGACTTATCAAGCGAAAGTTCATAATAAAATAAATTTATTTACATATCTACATTTAAAATCAGGCAAAAAGCAATCTTAGATTGGCATGTCTACCAATTCTCTGGTTTTTTGTCACATGACCTGGTCCCCAAGCAGATCACCAAATCTCCCATTTTTTAATTTTTAGCTGTTACTAAAGAAAGAGTTTTTCAGTAATTATGAATTGAAAAATTCTTAAGGTTTTACAACTGTCGCATGTCCATTTCATAAATAGTCTAAATGAAAGTCATCTCCTGGACAAAGAGTTCATAATTTTTGAATTAATTAAATCTATTGAAATATTGAAATTTAAATTGGAAAAATTTCCTCCACCACACCTAGTGATTTTCAGCATATTTTTTTAAAAATTAATTTAATTTGACCTAAATTGTGTTTACTTACTGTAGACATTTGCAGAGCTTTATATGCAGATTCAACCAATGTCTAATCAGTAAATATTTGTATTTAATTTGGTTTTACATCAATATATTATATACTACTAAATAGTATGCACATTAATTATTCAATTTTATTCGAATTTGAAAGTACTGTGATAAACTTAAGTTTTCCTTTCTTACTCATGGTTTTTTTTTTCAGTTTAAAAGTGTAAGAAAATTATAAAAGAAATCAGCCAAAACAGAAACTAGCATAAAGTTTAGACTACCAAATTAAATAGTTGTATGTTTTATATCCTACTATAAGTAGTTGAATAATCTGATTCATGCATTATAAAGGGAATTTAAACCAGCTGGAGTTTTTCTGAAATAATGCCACCACGCAGTGGACACTCATAGTTTATCATATTTAAAGGTTGACAGCTATGGAAAAATAAATGCTTTTGTTCCTGAAGATAAGGGGCTTATGTCTGGTTTATCTATGAAAATGACAGTTTGTTCAAAATTTACATAAATCTGATTTTGTTTTTATTGCCCATTTTTAAATTCTATTTCTCTTCCGAATAGATGTTTGCATCACTCAAAGTTATGAATTGAAAAATTTTTTAACTTGGTTTTCCAACTCTCAAGAATATGTGCGTTGAATATGCATTTGATAAAACAATTTAAATGATAGTAATCTTCTGGACAGAGAGCTCACTATTTTTGCATTCACTAAGGTTCCCCCCCCCCTCGATTTATAAAACACATGGAGGTAAGAAAGGAAGGAGTGGCCAAACTGGCACTAGAAGTGAAGCACTGCTTCGAAGCTTAGGTCACCAGATGGGGTGTTTTTTGTTTACATTCAGAAGCTTGCTTGACAGTGCTCTAATAGTATTTTGACACATGACAGTTCCATACAAATTGAAAAATGGGACACTTTTGCATGAAAGAAACATTCATAGTGTGATGGATAATAGCAAGTGAATTATAGCAAGTATAGTTTAGTGACATTTACGCAAAAATCACATCTTGGTTATTTTTCGATAACTAACAACAGCGATTTTGACTATGAATTTGTTTTATAAAATTCTAAGCAGTTGAACTACAAAAATATAGATTTTAGCAAAAATGTTATGCTTAAAGAATTAAAAATACCTTATGATACCTTTAAAATTGTATACACCTTTCGACACACTTGATAGAGCATTCGCTACTTTTATTTTATGTTACAAACACCAAAATATTTAAAATAAAATAAATTTTTTTGTCATCCACATATTATTGCAACATGTACTTTTAAAAATTTTTTAGAGGAGAGGCTTTACTGTTGCTCATTTTAAACTCAACATTTTATTTTTATATATCTGAAAAAAAAAAAAAAAAAAAACTTTGGGCTTACACATTTTACTTAGTTATTATTATTATTATAATATTATCAGAGAATTATTAAACTGTGTAAAATTGATAAAAGAGGTATTGAGTGCTCTGCCAAAATATATTTACTAGAGGATTTGAATTTGATGATGAATGTCCTAAAACGCGTTTTAAGTCAAAAGTTTGAAACTTGATGGCTAAATTATGCATGTTAAAATATTTGTAATTATGCACATAGGTCAGGTTAAGTTTTTATTAAATAGAGTAAGGCATGCAAGGGCTATCTGCCTAAAGGGAGAGATGCCATCGTGGAGGAATTTTGAAGAAAACTACCTTTGAGTGGGTATTAAAAATATTGCATATAATTTATTCAAATTAATTTATACATATGTTGTTATGTAAACTTTCAGGTATATGTTTAAATTAGTGTAAATTACTTTACTCGAAAAATATAGTAAATACACAGAAATTAAAGATTTGCACATGCCTAAAATGAAAAATAGGAAAATGCATGGGTATTTATGCATGTGCTTGCAAAAAGCATGTATCTGCCTTTAACAAAATACATAATATTCATTAAATTATTTATAAATGAATTTGAAATGAAGAATTTATTCATTTATAAACAACTGTGAAAGTTACTGTGAAGAAAATCTAATTATTAAATGTATCTAATTTATAATGATTATAAATGGAGAGCTAATCAAAGCAAGAGAAATAAAATCCGACATAATCATTCAAAAGTCATTTAAAAAGTGCTGTATATCTAACAATCCAGATGGAACAGAAGATGATTATCTATTTATGGATCAGAATAACAGTGATTACGAAAATGAAACAGAATTCGATGTTGTGCCCAAGATATAACAGAAGACGAATATAATGAACTTTTCACATTATCCGATAATGAAAATTTGTAAGTTCACAAAGTATGTCATTTCTTTCAAATAAACAACATTTAGGTACATATATATATCTAATTTTTTTATGCCGACTCCTTATTTTTAAATCTATCATTTTTTATACCAGACATATAATGCATACCTGTAAATTTTGATATAATTTTTTGTACTGAAAGTTCATGTTATACGCCGGAATATACGGTATTTTATAATAATATCTTTTCATTTCATTCATATAAATATAACAGTATTACTAATCAATTTAAATATTTTCTTCATCACATGTATAATTTAGCTTATCTCTATGCCAGCAACAACTTTCCTTGGTAACATTTATATGTAAATAAGCATATGTATGTTTTTGTACTTGCTAGATCTGCTTTCACATCTGTGAGTTTAGTTGGATTTAAAAGCTGAATTTCAGTTCAAACATCAATAAATATAGAAAATAACCATATTTATTCAGAAAGAATAGGAAATACAACTAGACTTTTTTCACAAAAAGTTATTTAATTACTAAGCAAACAAAAATACTCATTTTCAATTAAATTAAACTGCTATTAAATTTATCCCCTTTATCAGCTCTACATGTAATCAATCATTGTTAATTTCTTTCTCTTTCTTCCATTTTTTTCTGGAAGCAACCCAATGCTGAAGAAAGTAAAAAAAAAATAATCTCCCAAGAATAAAAATAAATTGTTTCAGAATCTTAAATCCATTTTTTGTCCATTTAGAATTTTTTAATTCATTTACAACTTTCATATGTTCAATACAAATAATGCAGATATTTTTTGTTTCATCGTTTGAGAAATATAGTTTCAAGGCAAAGGAAAAAATTATGTAAATAATATACTATTTTAAAAACTCATAAACTAAACTGAACTTATAGTTTCAGACACATTTCAATAAGTTCCTAAATTAAAACATTAAAAACTTACACGATCAAGGATTCTACCACCACATACACAGCACTTTTCTAACGTGTTCTGGAACATAAAAATAAAATTCATGCTTCCTATATGTAAAGATATTTTTAAGTAATATATATATTACATATCTCATATAATATAAATTCTACCTTTTAAAATTATTTTATACATTAAATAGTTATGAACCTTAAATGAAACTGATCTTTTCTCGATTGACATTGTATTTTTAACATAAAAGTGATAAATATAACAAAATAAAAAAACACACAGATACAAAATATATAGCCACTGCATATCGGCATCACAAGTGTACTCTCCCACACAATGTTTTCACTATTTTCTGTCTTTTCCCAAACAATTTTAAAAAAGTTAAAAATTCAAATAATTTTTTTTAAATTTCTATTTATCATCACTTTTTTAAATTCCATATATACATAAAAAAGAGCAT